CCTGGCTGGGACCAGCCCCGGGGGGTCTCTGGGGTCCTTCTCCCCCTCCCTGGGGCAAGGTGAGACCCCAGGACCAGGTCGCCAGCGCCCGCAGGCTACAAGCAGCACGGGACAGAAGCTGCGAGGGCAGGGTGGCAGCGGGTGCTGGAGGGACCCCCAGGGCACAGCCTCTGCAAGCGCTCCCAGCCTCAGCAGCACGAAGGGGTTTGCGTCAGAGAACAGGAAAAAATCTCTGCAATGGACGAGGTGCTTCGAGGAAAAAGAAGAAAACGTGTGTTGCATTTTCCTGAGGGCAGATGGCAGAGTGATGCTCCGGCACAGCCACCCACTGGCACCGCCATGCAGCCAGGCTGGTGCTGGGTCCCAGCAGCATTCTCCAGGGATCACCAAGCTTCATCCTGTGCATCCCCTCGTTCCACGTGCCTGGGGAAGCACCTCTTTGAGCATATCCCCAGCACACAGCTAGGACAGGACTGATCCACCAGTTTGGACACTGGAGGTGATGCTTCAGCCTGGCCAAGGGCTGAGGGACACTGGGACAGCTTTTAGCAGCTACCCCAGGGCTGGGACCTGCTGCAAGCAAGGTGCCCCTAGCCTACAAGGGAGGTGGGGGCCTCCAGCCCAATCTCACTAATGAAGTTTTTAACCTCAGCTGGGCTGAGAAAAAGGTTTTCTCACTTTTGGGCACCAACAACCAGGCCCCAGCCCCTGCCTGGGTCCCATACCCAGGAGCCCTGAGGAGCCTGCATGCCGCAGGGCTGGTCAGGAGCAGTTCTCAGGACACAGAGACAGGAAACCCTCTCCCAAGGGATCCCTTCCTGTGCCTGCAGCACCCACAGCTCCACTGCTGCCCCAGGAGCATCCCCACAGACACGCGTTTCATAGGAACCAGGCTGCTCCTGCAGCATCCGTGGGGTCCAGGGGCAGCCCAGGAGCTGGGGAGGGGCTGGAGTCCCTGCCCAAGGCTTCCTCTGAACAGCACTGACTGTGTACACTGCGATTCCTCGGGGGGCTGGGTTTGTACCTGGTTTCTTTCAGAACCCTGCCTGGCCTAGGGCATTTTGTACAAAATGTTATCAAAATAATAAAAACTAAAAAGCATGTCTTGCTTAAAAACAAACTGTCCTGAGAGCCCCAGGAGGTGCTGGCAGGCAGCAGTGGGAGAAAACCCAGCACAGCTTACGGGGCTCCTGGTAGAGTCTGCCACCGTAGATGGCTTCACAATCTGCCCGCACGTCCCTCGAGGAGCGAGTCCAGGGCTCAGCCCGGCCAGGGGCTGTCAGCAGGAGAATCAAGCAGACAGGACGAGCTCAGGGCTGTTGCTCGGAGAGGAAGGCAGATGCAAGGTGCTGCTCCCTCCCTCCCAGCAAGCCAAAAGGAACCAGGACAGGCTGGAGGCTGCAGCAAACAATCTTTAATCAAGTTATGCAACATACAAAAGTTTAGGTTCCATGTAGATCAATTTCAGTATTAAAAGGCTGATTGCTCAGTCTCACCCTGGGCATGTTAAATATCTTACCCGAATCTCTACAAGAGGAAACAAAAGGCTAGAGCACCGGCACAGACATGTACAAATAACTTACATGATAGTTCTGCTCTCCCCCTGCTTTGTTCTCTCAAGAGAGGGTCCGGGAGCCTCAAACAACAGGGTTGGGTTTTGAGTCAGGCTTTTGTCTTTGGGAAGTTAGAAAAAAAGACTAGGCATACAATTAAAAAATAAACTTTCTATTGGGAGTGGGGGGCAAGAAACCTTTGGGTACCAGTCAGAGAGAATAACGCCAGTCCCACAGCATCGGGGGCTTCCTTCCAGACCGTCCCCAGGAGCAGGAGCCCAGCCGAGTGATGGAGGTTACAGCGCGTGCAGGGGTGCCACGAGCCCTCCCTGTCCACAGCTGGGACAGTTTGGCGCAGGTGTCGAGTCCATCAAGAAGAAGGCCTAAGCAGAGGATTTTGCACGGGCTGAGCCAGACTTTGAACTGAGGAGCTTCTCCACCATGGTGCGCGCGTAGCGGAGCCGGCTGGCCAGCTCCTTGCAGCAGCCGTGTTCCTCGATGAGGCTCAGCTTGTACGTGCGGAAGTCCCGTTTCTCATCAATGTATGTGACAGCAGCCATGAGAGGGCACAGGATGACCTTGGTGTGGTCCTGTGGGGAGCAAGCACACCATCACCCTGAGCTCTCTGCTCCTTTTCTGCATTTTCTCAGGATAAACCACCCCAGCAGCGGTTGGGGCATCCCAGCTGCACCTGGAAGGATGCTGCCAGAGCACCAGCCTGCGGGGTTTGTTCACCGATTGCAGCAAAGGGAAACAAACTGAGCTGGCCAGCCAGAAAGACACCGCACCCAAGCCTGCAGCAGTGCCCCCCACTAAGGGACACGGCCCCTTCGCAAGCGAGGAGTGTCGTGGTGGCTTGTGTGCTGCAAGGGGAGTAAGGAGCCTCCAGTGCTCGGTTCACTGGGCAGAGCTTCGGCTCGGGTTTACCCTCCCGCTGCCTCGCGGACAGCGCTGCGGGGAGTGCGGCTCTTCCAGCAGCCAGAGCGCTGGCCCTGGGGAAAGTCGGGAGCAGCCTCACCTGGAAGAAGTTTATCTGCACAGTGCCGTTGCTGAGGTGCAGGATGATGGCGCTGCGGGTGCGGAACCACGTGCAGAGGTAGGGTAAACGGGCCAGCTCGTCTCCTTCCCGCGGCGTGATGTTAGCGCCCGCCTTCAGCAGGTGCTCGCTCATGTAGTTCCGGAAGTATTTCAATAGTGTTATCTGCGGGCGGGAGAGGCTGTGAGCACACAGGCTGAGCATGGCCCCTGCTCTCTGGGGGCTGGGGCTGCTGGCACAGTCCCGGAGCCTCCCTGCATCTTTCAGAGCTTGAGGCATCGCTGCACAAACTTGGGCAGATTCTCAAGTTAACTCGGTCTGTGGTACTCGAGACTCCCTTTGGTGAGCACTTTGGTACACGCAAGGCTTGTGAGCGCTTATTGCTGTGAAGCTGCTCATGAGTGAGCCTCAGATAGCAACCAGAAATAACCAGCTCAAGCTGCTAGTGGCTGTTCTTGGGCCATGGTTCACCAGCCCAGAGGAAGGCAGCAGAATGCCAGTGACCCCGAGTTACAGATGTTTCTTCCTGGAACAACAAAGCCCCCCAAGGCTGGCGGGGGTCTCCCCAGCAGCCACCCCCCAGCCAGGGTTCCTGTTGTCAGGACTGACCTTCTTGTTCAAGGCAGAGGGGTAAGATCTCACAGTGAAGAAGGACTCGGTGCTGTTCTGCTCGATGTACTGCAAGCTGTCCCCATCGTTGTACATGATAAGACGAGTGGAGTCGTTGAAGAGGACCCCGACGCTGTTGTCGCACAGCTGGTAACCTGTTCACACAGGAGCCCGTTAGGCTGGGACCACTGGTTGTGTGAAACACAGCGGCAGAAGGCTGTGTCACCCCGGGGTCCCCTGCCAGTTTTTTCCTGCCAGGTCTACAGATTCCCCTCTTGGTGGGGTCTTTCCCCAGCCTCTCCAGAACCGAGAAGATCCTGGGGTATCGCCCCCATGTTATTTACCTAGACCATATTTATCAGAGTAGTCCACCCATTTGCTAACCCAGAAGATGGGAATGCAGGCTGGGTCTTCAGCTTCTTCTGCAAAGAGTAAAGGAGTTTGTTAGGAGAGATTTCACAGTATCCTGCACACCCCAGCAAGCAAGCAACACCAAAAGGAAGGCAAGTAGGTACTCCAACGCTTCTCAGCCTTCCAGTATGAAATGGAAGTCAGCTGGTC